CGTGATCTGGACTAATGTGACCTGATCTGACCTGACCTGACTTGACTTGACCAGGTATATTGCTGTCTGACCGTCTGGGAATTGTTCTGACCTGAGCTGGCCTAGCCTCAGTTGATCTGACCTGGCCAGAAATTCGGATAAGAAAAATTCAAACAGAAAAGTTTGACAGAAACCTAAATTTCTGGTTTAAATCGGTATAGACGTTTTAATACAAAAAGTTAATGGTCGCTTGCGGAACATATAACCGAGTGAGTGCTTTAATTGTGATCTAATAAATGAAGTAGAAAAGTGGCAATCCAGCTCAAATAAAAAAAACAAAACAAAAAACTAAATCATCAAATCAGTTTATCCAACTTAAAGAAAACATACCAAAGCCTACTTTACTATATAAAGATCGTGAATGGATAATATTTTGACGAGATTTTATTATCAGTTGGGGAATATTAGAAACCATTGGGCTGATTATTATCAACCAAAAATTAGGCCAAATGCCGTACTTTCAACACCTGATACAACATAATCTAACTTTGGCGCTGTGTAGTAATAATAATAATCACATGTTTACCGACAATCTATAAAATATTAACCTCATGCATTACACAAAACATCTATCAACACTGTTTTAACTCTGACATCATTAATGAAGAACAGAAAGGATGTATTAAAGGATCCTTTGGTTGCGAAGAGCAATTAATCATAGATTCCATCATCTGTGAACAAGCTTGAAAAAGAAACCGAAACATATATACTGCTTTTATTGATTACAAGAAAGCTTACGATTCTGTCCCTCATTCCTGGCTACGCAAAATTCTGGAATTATACAAAATTGATACTAAAATCTGCACTTTTCTCAAATGTTCCATGGAATTTTGGAAGACCACCCTCCAAATAACCTTAAATCAATAAACAATTCAGTCAGATCCAATAATGATCCGAAGAGTAATTTTTCAAGGCGATTCTCTTAGCCCGTTATGGTTCTGCTTAGCAATAAATCCCCTCTCCGATGTCCTGAACAGCTGCAATTATGGGCTCAATATAAGAATTAACAAACAAAGAGAAAACAGAATAAGTCACTTGCTGTATATGGATCACATAAAAATATATGCAAGTACACAAAATCAGTTAATAAACCTATTAAATCTGATTGAACAGTTTTCCGGAGATATTGGTATGTATTTTGGTATTAAGAAATGTAAGACCGAAGCAATCAGAAAAGGCGTCCAACTCCAAGTACCACATATAACCCAGAATAACGAAATAATCGAAGCCCAAGAACGAAATGATACATACAAATATCTGGGTTTCTATCAATCCTCCCACATCAATCATACCAAAACGAAAACACAGTTGAAAGATCAATACCTAGCGAGATTGAAATTAATATCGAAGACACAGTTAAATGGAAAACATTTAATGAAAGCAGTAAATACATTCTGCGTTCCACTGCTAACCAGTGGCGGCTCGTGAAGTTTTCTTCAGAGGAGGCTCAAATTTGAAAAGCACTACTTTTTATATCTTTTATTATCTGAATAATTTTTTTCGTCATGCCCGCGAAAAGAACACTCTTGCGTTGACAGATAAATTATATTGCATCGATTAGTCTTTTCAAAATTGCCCAATTTTCACCAACTTTCTCGTAACAGTTCTCCCTTTTATGAGCCGAATCTAAATTATTGGCAATGTTTTGCTTACCAAGCATTTCTAATTTAATCGAAGAAAATATGTGTTCCTGTGATTTTTCATGCCTTTCTATAGCTCGTGACAAATTTTGTAAATTATTATAGCCTGTTTTACCCCAAGCGGAAGATTTATCAGTTTATCACTTATAAATAATACACAATTCCAACAGTATAATTTGTTTCTTAAAACCGAAGCCGTTAACTATTTAGTTTTATTATAATTATTTTCATGAAATGCTCTGTTTTGTTTCTAATTGTAACTGTCAATACCATTAATGTGAGTGATGGTGTTGGTCTTCCCTTTTATACCCTTACCTACGTAAAGCCTAAACACCACCACCACTGAACAGGGAGCTCGCGAAACCACCTCAATGTTTTTCCTACTTACACCCGATTGGTCCAACTAATAAGAAAGAGATAAAGTTATCTGCACGACTTGATCTGAAAAGAGATGAACTAGCCGGAGGCTAGCGGCTTGGAGCGGCTGTCCGATCAACGTTTTAGCCAATGCAATGCACACTGACGGTGCGTCAAGGTTACGGTCTCATTATTCAGATGCATCGTCGTTCGGAGGCTAGCGGCTAGCAAGCCTCTGCCGCTGAAACCAAACGCGGAGTGGTGTGAATGTGAATTATGATTGTGAGGGCGCAAATATAAATTTTTCCGACATTTTAACCTGATATATGATGAAAGTAAATGAAATCCAAGAAAATATTCTGAAAAATAACAAATGTCTACAAAAATATAAATTCTTTCATCGAAAAAAATTAAGAGGAAACTCAGCTCCAAAAAATAGAGGAGGCTCAGCCTCCCCTGCCTCCTCTGAGGAGCCGCCACTGCTGCTAACATATTCTTTTGGAGTCATTAAATGGTCCAAAATTGATCTTGAAAATTTAAACATCGCAACAAGGAAAATCTTCACACAGTATAGAAGGAATCATCCAAAATCGTCCATTGAAAGATTCTCATTACCAAGACAAAATGGAGGAAGGAGTTTCCAGAACCTAGAAAACTTATATCAGAGACAAATCTCAGATCTGAAGAAGTATTTCTTGAAACGAGCAGAAAGAAATGAAATGTTTCGCACCATCACACGGGCAGATTTGAACTACACACCCTTAAATCTGTCGAACACCGAAGAAATCCACACCCCCCACACAATAGACAAAATAATAAGTGGGCTAAAACAAAAACAACTACATGGAAAATTCTACAAAGACTTAGAAGAAACTCATGTTAATAAGAAGATGTTATTGATTTGGTTAAAAAAATCAAGTTTGTATGCCGAAACAGAAGGATTTGTGTTTGCTATTCAAGACCAAGTAATCAATACCAAGAATTACAGAAAATACATCATCAAAGATCCGAATATAAGAAACGACTGCTGTCGCCTCTGCAAAGCAAAACCTGAAACGATCCAGCACATAATCTCCTCCTGCAGCATCCTGGCACAAACTGACTACAAAGCTAGACACGACAACGCAGCCAAAATCATTCACAAAGAATTAGCAACACTTATGAACTTAATCGAAGATACGACACCCTATTACACTTACATTCCATCTCCATTCCTTGAAAATAACAAATACAAATTATACTGGGATCGCACAATACTTACAGACTTAAACATTACAGCTAACAGACCAGACATCATAATTATCAAAAAACACACAAACGAAGCCATTCTGATTGACGTTGCTATTCCTAACACAAACAACATTATTCAAACATACCACACCAAGATTTCAAAATATCTACAATTATCGATAGAAATGAAATCCATGGTGAATCTTAAAAAAATTTCAATTCTACCCTTAGTTATCTCTAATGTAGGTGTAGTCCCAAATAGCTTAGTTGAGAATTTTTGCATTTGAATGATTCAATAATTGTCAAAATTCAAAAAGTTGTTTTGTTAGGAACATGTCATATTGTTCGTAAGTTTCTCGAACAGTCTGATCATGTCAGTCAGATTAGATTAGCACCAGTAGGTCAGAGTAGTGTAGGTCACTTTCCAAGTGATGCGCGGATAAATGATCGGTAGTTACGCTAGACTTTTGGGGATGGGGTGAGATTAGAGAATAATAGCAGACTAATTTGTATGCTGTAATTCTAGAATCTCGAAAGTTGTTCTGTCAATCTAATCAATGCATATCATTACTTGGTCTTAGTACCCGTAATGATAGAAGTCTTGCCTGAATGCCGGTCATTTCCGGGTCAGTGGTGGGTCTTAATATGATAATAAATTCCCTTAAGGATGTCCAAAATGTGAGGATATCAGTTTTTTGTTTCATGGCTACCTATCCTTTAATACTTTTTGGAATTATTTGCGCAATAATTTATCGTTTTTTGTCTAACCAGACGTATTTCGGAGATGAATTTTTGCATACAGTATTTATTTTTCATGTTTAATCGATTGATGCGAAACTTAATTAATTCAAAATTAAATTAAGGCATGGAAAATTTACTTTTTCAAGATAACGATTATTCTCACCGGTTCATATTAATCCCCACCTATCAAAATACCTACATTTCAAATTTCATAACAATCCGTTCAAAAATACCTGAGTTACTGCGCCCAAAAGTGTTCCGTGGAACACCCGGTATATATTAATGACGTGGTAAGCTATGTTGATTCTATTTGATATATATATATATATTAGCACAATTTTGAAATTACTTCATCAAGTTTTTGGAAAGAATAAAAAATTTGATTGACGATTTACCACGATCATGACAACCGTAATGTAGATAGATTTTAAATAGTAAAACGTTTTGATTTTTTTTTTTTTTTCAAATAATTAGACATCTAATGTAGGGTTAGATTAATAAACCACAAGTACAGAAGCATATTTTTTCATTAATTTTAAGTAAGATTTAATTTGTAAAATTTTGAGATGACGTCGTCAGTTGTTTCACAATAGAATTTTGTAGAATCTATTCATAAATATGAAATGTATTCCAAAAGAAAAAAAACTAATTAATAAAACTTGTCTAAACTCTATTCAACTTACGAAGTACCGTATGATACGTCAGTTTTATTGTAAAAGACTTTGATCAGTCCATGTAGGACATGATAGAAACAGAGCTAACATTTAGTGGAACGAAATGTCAGATAATAAGCTTACCTCCGTTAATGATAGATAACTATTTCAGATCATATGGTACTTTTAAAAGTTAAAAACAAATGATCATTTCAAGAATAATTGTTCCCCAAAAAAGAACTCAACGTCTAATGACTTCAACTTTTTCGATTTTCTAAGTAAATAAAAGAATTGACGTCAAAATTTTTGGCAAATGTCTGGACAACTCCACCAGTCAGATTCCTATAAGGATGTAATCGTTGTTTGTTTGGATGATGGTTGCCCATAAATTTTTAGATAACTTTTTCATTTATCACACATTTGGTCAAGGACCACGGATATCAACACAGAGGTTATAAAGTGCAACCCACGATTAAAAATTTCGTAGTACAATAAAATTATTGATGCAGAAAATGGTTTCAAAAGTTGTTCTCTTATTAATGTTGCTGTTTAGAAATGTGTTCCTTAGCCCTAGTGAAACTGATGACGTAAGTACGCTTCTAAAATTCATTCAGAATTACTATACAGTTGACAAAAGTATAGCATAGCATACTGTAAAATGTCATTCCAAAAGACATCAACACATATTTTGTTAAATCAGCAGTTTTAGTTAGCATTTATTTTATTTTTTGACAGTTTGCGGTGGTTTTTACTAGCAAAAGTCAACCAAAATTTCAACCCACCGTAAACGATCCTTTCTTTGTACGACTGGAATTACTATTAGAAATAAACACTACACTGGAGGCATTGAAAGAATCCGTAAATAACCTGCAAAACATAAAGCGGGAAATCATCGAAGAAGTCGAAAACGTGGTAGAAGAGAAAATCAGTATTTACGACGCAGATCTAAAAGAAAAATTATCGCAAACAAAAACTGAAATTGTGGCTGAAACAAAAGAAAATGTTAGATTGCAAGTAACAGAAGCGAAAAATGAAATCCAAGAAATGAAAACGGCGCTTCAAAACAAATTCAAAATTTGTGATACAGAACTAAAAAATGAATTGGATAAAACTAAAAAGGAAATCCTCGCTGCAACAGAACAGCAGCTAAGTCTAGCAAAGAATGAAATATTTAATAGAATAGCCGCGTCAGAAACAAAATTAGCCATTTCCAAAAATGAAAATTTTATTTCAAACTCAACTGTTATCACCCAGTTTAAAGAAATGGAAGCTAATATGTTTGGCGAACTGAACGCAATAAAAAACCACTTGGTTTCTATAGACGAAACAGAAAAAAGTGTCAAGGAACAACTAGTACAAACGAAGAATGAAATGATTGACCAAATGAAGGCACTAAGAGAATGCGCAGAGTCGGTTCTTCCCCAAAACGAAAAACAACCAGAAGGACCACAGTCAAATTTGCAAATTCATTTCGAAAAAACTCAACTTAAAAAAACGCAGGAAGAAACTGAAGTTCAACAATTTAGAACGGTACCGGGTGATTGCAGGGAAATTCAGAAGGAGGGGTATAACACTTCTGGTACGTATCGTATCCAGCCAAAAATTTCCTTGGAAAATTTTTTGGTTTGGTGTGACATGTCAACTAAAGGAGGTGGATGGACTTACGTTCTGAATAGATTCGACGGTTCCCAAAATTTTTATTTAAGTTGGGCTGATTATAAGCAAGGTTTTGGTAATCTTTCAGGAGAACACTGGTTGGGTTTGGATCATGTTTACGAACTGACGAGTGAGTTTTTTTTTATCGTTGGCAGTACTATGCAATGTGATTTTGCTATTTCAGACAGCAAACCTACCGAGTTGTTATTCGAACTAATGGACTGGGACTCGAAAACAGTTTATGCTTTATACAGCAGGTTTCAAATTGGCAGCGAAGCCGAAAACTATCAGATAAAAACTTTGGGGCTGTATAATGGAAATGCTGGAGATTCTTTCCGGGGGCACAATGGTGTAACATTTAGTACCGTCGATAATGACAATAGTCCCAGCGGCGTGTGTGCCGCTACATATGGTAAACTTTAGTTAATTTTCATTTACTTTATAAAACAGTTCTTGCAGATGGTGGCTGATGGTATAAGAATTGTTATAATGTACATCTTACTGGGAAATATGTGAAAAACCCTACGCCTGGAACACACTATTTTTCAGCAATAAAGTGGTACCAGTTTCATGGCTATAACTATAGTCTCAAAGAAGCAAGAATGATGATCAGAACGATTTAAGTTAGTTTGTCCCAACACAACTAATTCTTGGTTTTTACATTTTGAATAAAAAAAAATTGGTCAAAAGTTGTTTCGACAGAACTTTCCTCGCACCTAAAGTACAATGAAACATATCCAGCATTTTCGAGTTAAGTTTTTCCTTTACACGATTTTGTGATGACGTCATTAACATTTTTGAAAGGACACATATAGTCTAGTCACTTTAGCATAAAATAGGGACCAACCTCGGAATGAGAGATAATAAGCTGAATTTTTGTATGTACCTTAATTTTGGCGTTCTAAAAGTTGTCTCTAAAATCTCATAAAATCTCGTGTCTGCGTCGTAAGTTATTCAAGGTCAAAAGTGAAAAATAAGAGTTTTTCGCGATTATCTCGGTTTCTATTGCTCCAATGATGTTAATGTCTATTATAATAATTGTAGAACATACAATTTTGGACAAGTTTTATTTGAAACATTTTTTGATGCGCTTAATCGTTTTAGAGAAAGAGGGCAGGGAGTTTCTTCATTCTTCATCTAGAGTTCCTTAGAAGTCTTAGAACACATCTTCAGGAAGTGTTCGAATCGGAATTGACTTTTGCTTTTCTGTACTGATGCCCATCGAAAAGTACTAGTGTGCCACCTTTTTGCGATACGATTTTCTCCATGTTAAGTCTGAAATTAAGATGGATGACGAACACCACAAATTTATGACAATATTTTTAAATACTAATCTTTTATAACTATTTTGGTGGTATAACTACCTACCCTAGAACAAAGTGGATTGGTAAGTATTTTTAGGTGGCTCAAAAAAAAATGAATGAGTCAACTTTATTAATTAAATCAGGAACGGCGCACTCCATTTTTCCAGAAATCCACTGCACCGATCCAAATGATATACGTAAAGAAAAAACTCAACTCGAAAATGCTGGATATGCTTCATTGTTCTTCAGGAGCGAGGGAAGTTCTGTCGAAACAACTTTCGACCAATTTTTTAATTTTTCAGTTTTTGGACATTTCAGTTTTGGGATTTTTCAGTTTACTTGTTATTCAATTTTTCGATCTTACGATTTTGCAGGTTTTTGATTTTTCAATTTTTGGATTTTTTTAAGGCTTCGATATTTCGACTTTTTTGATTCTCAATTTTTCGATTCTTTAGATTCTCAGTTTTGGGAGTTTTTAGTTTTTCGATTCGTCAGTTTTTCTTTCATTTTTCAGTTTTGGGATTTTTCAATATTTCTGTTCTTCGACTTTTTCAATTTTGATTTCTGAAGTTTACATATTTCAATTTTTCAAATGTTTCGATTTCTTAATCTTTCGATTTTTCGACTTCCCGGTTTTAGATTTTCTGTTTTTCGACTGTCGTTTTTTCGATTTTTAAATTTTAGATTTTTCAATTTTTTGATATTTTAATTTTTCAATACCTAGAATTTTAGATTTTCCGATTTCTAGATTTTTCGTTTCAGTTCATCGATATTTCAGTTTTTCAAGTTTTCGAATTTTTCAAATGTTTTGATTTCTTAATCTATCGATTTTTCGACTTCCCGGTTTTAGATTTTCTGTTTTTCAATCGTCGTTTTCTCAAATTTTCGATTTTTCAATTAATCGATGTTTTAATTTTCCCATTTTTTGACTTTCGAGGGTTTCGATATTCCTGTTCTTCAATTCTCTAATTTTTAGATTTTTCAGGTTTTCGATTTTTCATTTTTAGTCTTTTTAAGGTTTCGATTTTTTTCGAGTTCACTTTTTGGATTTCTCGCGTGCTCAATTTTTCGACTTTTTAGGTTCTCATTTTTTGAATACTTCAGTTTTTAGATTTTCCAGGTTTTCCATTTTTCAGTTTTTCGATATTTCAGTTTTGGGATTTTTCGATGTGTCGATTTTCTACTTTTTCGATTTCTCGAGTTTTCAATTCTTTAATTTTTTTATTTAGGTTTTTGATTCTTCAATTTTTCAGTTTTAGGATTTTTCAATATTTCAATTCTTCGGCTTTTCTATTTTTGACTTCTGGATTTTTCGATGTGTCTACCTTTTTACTTTTTCGATTTATCAATTTTTGGATTTTTGAATTTTAGATTTTTCAATCTTTTGATATTTTAATTTTTCAATATTTCTTAATCTTTCGATTTTTCGACTTCCGGGTTTTAGATGTTGTTTTTCAATTTTTCGATTTGTTAATTTTTCATTCCCGATTTATCGAGATTGTTCAGGTTTTCGATTTATAGGTTTTGCAATTTTTTATTTTGGCCTATTTCGTTTTCTCAGTTTTTCCAGTTTTCCAATTTTTCGTTTTTTGATTTTTCCGCTTTTCCAATTTTTCAACTTTAACTTTTTTCGACTTTCATCACTTTTCGAGTTTTCGTTCTTTTGACCGTTCAATCTCTCAATTTTTCGAATTTTTAAGTTTTTTGATTTCTGGATTTATCGAAATTTGAATTTTTCGATATTTTGGTTGTCAATTTCTCAATTTATAAATTGTTCAATTTTTAACTTTTCGACTCCACGATTTCTTGATTTTTTGATTTTTCGATTTTCCAGTTTTTCGATGTTTCGATTTTTCAGTTATCCGATTTTTTAAATTTGGGAGTTTCGATTTTTCGTTATTCGGTTTTATATTTTAGATTTTTGAATTTTACATTTTTTCGATTTTCTGATGTTTCATTTTTCGATTTTCAGTTCTTCGATATATCCGATTTTTCGATTATTTTAACTTTTCATTTTTTTTCTCACTGTTAATATCATACAGTGTATCGAGAACAACCACAAAAATTGTCTCCCTAAAAATATTTAAAAATTCATACAAAATAGAACACAGTGTTTCCAAAACATTTTCCCGAAAAAAATCCATTGGGTTATTACGATTTCAACAATATTCTTAGTTTAAGACGTTTTGCTAGTATAAAACACAAATAAAGAATTAATTCTTTGTTAAACAAAATATGTAAAATCATCTAAATATTTTTTGGTACATATTTAGATGATTTTACATATTTTGTTTAACAAAGAAGTTCTCAGGCGACGAGTTGTAGTGAAACAAGTTTTAGACTATTTAAATTTGGCGCTTGAGGACTCCAATGTCAATAAGGGTGGTTTTGCGAAATCAGCCTGTCTGTTGCATCTATATTAATCTATGGTCGGGTAATCTCTGAAACCACTGGGCTGCTTATCGACCAAAAATTAGGCCAAATGCCGTACTTTCAACACCTGATACAAAATAATCTAACTTTGGCGCTGTGTAATAATAATAATAATTCGTTTATTTCCAACAGAAAATACAAAATTAAATAAATAAATACGCGAAAATCATCACAAAACGAAAGTATATACATATGTATAATGTAGTCTCCTCATTAGCCGCGTCCTGGTAACCCGAACGCCTTTTCAATAGCCAAAAATTCTCTTGATGTTGTTTTGATTCCTGCATATGCAATAGTATCATTTGCCGCTACCCCCGCTGCAACGGCTTTGTTACCATAATTGACTGTTCCAGGCTACAAATAAAAATATCGTGTAATTTTTACTCAAAAAAATGTCTTTCACTTACGATTAGAGGTAACCCTAGTAGTGACGATAAATCTTCAAGATCAGTTTTACTGATATCAACGTTCACTAGCCCCCCATTATTATTCAAAACACAGTATGAACCAACAAGAGGATTATTAGCTATCACATGACGAAAAACTTCAACTTGTAACGTATCTTCGATAATTTCTTCGCTTTCCTGTAAAACAAAATTCGTTCACAATATACATATTGCACGCTTCGTAATCTAATGATAAACCGCTGTAACTGTGTACAATTCACCGGTTATTCCATTATATTACACCCAACTAAAACGTGACGAAATCTCGTAAACGTAGGAAACGATTTCTCACTCATAACATTTTCCTATCCGTGAGAAATGAGTAAGGTCGTTCCTGTTACACAATATATTTTATTGGAAAAATATCACGTACCTTGTCTAATTCTGGATGTACCAGGGCAACTTGATCATTACATACAACCACGTTTCCTAATGCTGATAGCCTTTCTTCAATTTTTTTAATTTGGATGGACTCCGGTATTTTGTCTCTAAGGTGTTCTAATTCTGTGTCGTAAATCGCCTCAGGTACAAGAAGACCATGATTGTTTCCCACGCACATTCGACCTATTACTCTACACCCGCTTAGGGAAGTTCGTATCACAGGGATTTCAGGCAGATCGCCTTGAACAGTCCTGTAACAAGTTTAATTCGAATTAAAATAGAAAGTTTCAGAGTCATCTTGCTGTAATTATTTTTTAACGATTTTATTTTCCCATCGTATTTAATTCTCATCAGATTATTATTATAATGGGCCACTTTCCGACCTATGACATTTTTGTGACATGAGTTTGTAGTACAGACAAATGAATACAGGGGTCTTGAAATGAGATAGCCTTCACCTTATCCTTTCTTTGCGAAGTTTTCCGACCCGCCCGCCAGGAGTCGTAATGAAAAGAAATCTGTAAAAGCTGTGATTTTCAAAATTTTTGAGAATTCGTTTAGATCTCCTAGCAACGGCAGTGTTTATCATTTGACACATTTCCTGTGTTGTATTCGCGTGATTTATGCGTGATTTCATAGTGGGATAGTGCTTCTCAAAGTTTTCTTAATTTATGTGTTTACATTGTACATTGTAGAGTGTAATTGCCAAATGTAAGTATATAACTTTGCCTTGACTAGATTATTATACCCAATTTTTGTAGAACAAAAATGCAAGACAACAACATGTTACGGATATACGACGAGAGTTAAGCCGATCTTTGGGTTCCACATCCAAATCGGTTTATGGAGCAAATAATAAAGCCGCGAATAACCAAAAACTGGTGGTTTTAAACAACAACCAAATTTATAGCAGAGGGTACACTGGCTTCCATCATTTTGGACCAGACAAAGACTACATACCAGGAACGCAAAAGCCGTATAGATTTGCAGTACCAGCTATTTTGCCTTTCCACGGTAAAAACAAATTGAAAGTCACTACAAAACAAATATTAAGATATTTTTATTCACAGCTGATAGTGAACTTGCTACAGCATCACTCGAAGCAAACCACATTGATGTGGCAATCACAAGAACGCCTTTCGCTCCGCTAAGAAGTTTCTAGGAGATCAACGTTTGGTTGGTATCGTGAAAGGATTGGCTTCTTTTCAGCGAGAATTTTTTGAAAACTAGATTAGAAACGTAAATCGAAAAGCAGGAGTTTTACATTTGAGGTGAAAGCAGATGCCATTGCCATTTGGAAGTATGGTTCAAAATCGTATAAACTTCTGCCAAGAATGTTTATGTTGTTATCTATTAACACTTTGACGGCAACCCTAAATAAAGTTCCAATAGAACCGAGTATCATCAAACCTATATTCGAAGTTCTCAGAAAGCAAGTAAGTCGCAAAATTAACCCTAAGTATCTACTCTCATCTTTGATGAGATGTTCATTCAGCCTCATCTGGACCACTTGCCTTGTGAGGACAGTTGTGGTTTTTGAAGATGACGGTTCAACAAGGACGGAAAAAATTTCAGACCATATTTGCGTACTCAGAGGAATTTTCGCAAGGTAGAAGCAACCTGTTGTTTTTGCTTTTTGTAAAAATTCTATGCCTGGCGTAAACACTGCCCATTTTTTTATAAAACGGTTATGAAAGGGGCAACAGCAATTGATTTTGATTTTCGGGAGTGTTTTGCATATCGAAGAACTAAAAACTCAACTTTTTCATTTATTTTTAAGAGAGTCTATCTTTAGATCTATGAAAAAAGTCAGCAATGTAGTATTTGGTAAGGAAGAGCCTAACAAATCAATTCCATTGGAAACAGAAATGCAACAGTTATATTTGTTTTATAGAAAGAAAGTAGAACGTTTGTATAATTTTGGATTTTGCAGGTTATTCATCAGCTTTGTTTTGTTCATACCATAACAAAGTACATATTTGGTTATCAATTTTGAACATTTAATATTTAAAATGTTATTTTATTTTGCACTATTTTGTTTGACTTTTGCTTACTTTTCTAATTTCCTTTTAAGATATTTTTAGGATATTATCAATGTATATATTTATTTATTGTTATTATTGTATTTACATTTACAACTGAATGTTAAGTTTTAAATATACTGTGTCAAATATTTTATCTACTTTTTTTTTACACTGTTTGTGTTTTTTATATGTCAGCTTCAAAACGTATTTACACGTTTTGAACCTAACATATAAAATACACAAACCATATTTTTCCCTTCAATTATAAAAAATTCACCTTAAAAATTCGCTTTCAAATTTAGCGCCAGTTTTAGTTCCCGACCCAGCCAGTAGATGCTGACATTGTGACCAACATAAAAGCATTAGAGATCGTGTTCTGTAGAGAGGGTATTCTATGAATGAATATTTATTACTCTTCTTTTCTCCATGGTTTCTATTCAGTCGGCAACCAGTAATGCAGACGCGAAGTTTTGTGTGTGGCGAAATCTGGTAACTTGGTAACCGATATCGGTAATTGACATTTGACAGTGAAAATTTAATCTGTCAAATTATCGAAGCCAACTAATCTATCCAACAATTAACTGGGCCGGATTAGGAGTGCTTTTTATGCTTAAATTACGTACCTACAAAAATTTTCTGCTTCGTCTTCGCCCCCAACCAAGAAGTACGAGTTCGTCAACCTCACGAAAACACCTATGTCGTTGTTATTTCCAAGAGTTATTCCCAAAGCCTGTGTCCACATTTCGCGGGGGTCGGAGCGATACATTAATCCAGTGTATGACCGTCGTGTTCGAAATGCTTGGGGCCATACACCCTCATGGCGTGATTGACCATTACCCACCATAGTATAATCTTTATTTACTCTTTTGATATACCACCAAAGGTTTTTCTCTGAGGCACTTGTGTAGTTGCGTGTTGGAATTATGTCGGATGGCATATACTGCTCTGTTGTCTCCATGATAAATGTTACACTACTCGTCGATCACACTAACAATACTACACCTAGATGATCAGTGGATTCAGTGGACTCACTGTTTTATACACTACCGCAAATCTAACATTGACATCATGTTGCACAATGTTGGCAAAAAAACTTGAAGTTATGAAAGACTTGATTTTTACCATTACTTTAACGATTATTAAGTGCATACAATTTAAATAACATACAGTGTTGTTAAAAAGTATGGAAGGAGTTGAATTTCTTGTCGACGATTAGCGTTGCTAAAATGTTTAATTGGTTGCATAACCGCAGAATGTATGTTAAAAACCAACAGTTTTATGGAATTCATTTATCACATGAAGTAACAAAACTAACTAACAAAAAGTTCTAGTTTTATACAATGTGGTACAAACATCACGTTAAATTCACGTAATACAACGTGAAAAAATGAAATTTGAGATCATTGAGGTTATAAAAGTGGGGGGGATTTCTACAGTTTGTTTCTGGTTTGTTATTAGAGAGTGTTCTGTGGTTTGTTATGCAGCGGCACGTGGTGGCGCAAGATGTGTTTATAAAAACAACGTGTTTTCTTAAAGTCTGTGTTTCCCCGATTGAAACTATGAAGTTGTAGTAGCAATGTCTACAAGTTCAGACTACGCTTCTGATGACGATTTTCTACCAGTTTGGCATAACGAACGAGAGGAAAATGATCACATTTCGTATTCAAGTTATAAATCAATGAATCTGGTTGAATTCAAGGAAGATCCATGCAAGGCCTTCGAGTCTGTTGTAAGTTTATATTCATGGACCTACTATTATTGGACTGCTCGTGCCCGCTCTAAACTGTTGTCACAGCATAGATAACAATCAGTAGAGACAGCTCGTGTCGGCGCCTTTGTTCTTTCTGACCCGAATTTTAAGCCGTCATGGATGGTCGTTGCCTAAACTATTCCTAGATGTCGCCACCCAATTTAAAAAGTATCACTTCATTTACAATTTCAAAAATTGATTCGTGTACGCAATTTATTGCAAACTGTCTAGTTTGCTCAAATCGTATAATCGTGAATCGCAATAAGAAAAAAGAAAAGTCCATATTTAATTTATAAACACGATGATTTGTTACAGTTTTTATTTTATTCATAACCACCGTTGTTGTTCGTTTGCGACGACTTTTTAAACAAAAAATGTGTTATGTTTACCTTTTATTGTGAAAATTACATTTTTATACTATTTGTACAATTCTACCGGAAAAGCAGTCTTAAACAAGCAAAACTGGCAAAAATATTGTAACAAAACTGCCAAATTTCAAATATTTTAGACGTCAGTTGGGCGCCCTCATTCGGTCATAATGCGGACGACCACCCACGAAAACGGGTCACGAAAAACGGCGAGCTGTCTCTACTGATTGTTATCTCTACTGTGCTGTTGTCAACATGATTAGGCAACACACAATACCCATTCGGGGCAAAAGCATCATTGGTGTAAATTGGCGCGAAGCCCATTATAGCCAAAAACTCGTGTACTTTATTTATTTTGGACTGTTTTCTATAAAATATTAAATTTTTAGTTAAATTGTTATATGTATATGACATTTTATCCACTGTTACCACAATGGTGAAGTCTTGTGCGGCATTTAACTGCCAACAAAGATATGGACAAGATCCCACGGTTTCATTTCACAGGTTAGTAATTACTGATTATTATAATTAATTAGATTATTTTTACTTCCTTCGTAAAGCCAAGGGAAGTGTTGAAATAGGGCAGTTTTGCTATTACTACATATAAAATGACTGCTGTTCAAATTTTACTTTTCGTATTTCTAAGTATAAAATATACTCATCATAATCGCTACTTACACGACCGAGAATAACTAATATTGTTTAATTCATGATATAAGTAAATTTACTTGTATCATGGTTTAATTTAAGATTTAATTAATATTATCTGGAATTTGTTAGTTTTCCTGCTGATGTAAATTTGAAACAAAAGTGGATAATAGCAACGAAGCGAGAAAAATTCCACCCGTCCAAATATTCCGTTTTATGCAGCAAGCATTTTAAAAAGAGTGATTTTATCATTCTTGAGGGAAAAAGGAGACTAAAAACAGATGCTGTACCTTCCTTATTTAATTTTCCTAAACACATTCACAAAGCAACTGTGGAGAGGAAGGCTTCTTCTATCCAAAGAGAAAATTTGAATATAGAAAATAGGTATGAACCTATACAAACGTCAATTCATGTTTATTTTTTTTAATTTTATTTATTTAATTCTATTTCTGAAAATCCGTAATTTCAGTCTGTGTTCAAAAAATCAGCAATCAGAATTGATTCACATAGTTCCAGGAACAAGTCAAGAACGTTGCGAAAAAAATATATCGCAGAATAGGTAAGAAAATATTATTTTACCCTCTCGACATAAACTAGCTGCGATATTTAGTTGGCTATCTCCTCATCTAATTTTGATATCGTATCTTTTAAGGAAAAGGAAAACACCTATATATTTTGGTGATTTTGAGGAACATCACCTGAAAAATCCAAAAATAGCGAAAAAAATGTGGGAAACTGCCAAACGTGATTTAAAAATTCAAAAAAATAAGTTGAAAGTTCTGCGTGTTAAAAATACCAGACTTCAAAAAAAAGTACTAACATTGAAGCATTTAATCCAACACTTGCAAGAAAAAAAAGCAACTTCTCAAGATGGAATTTTCGTGCTGAAGGTATATTTTGATAATTATTTTTAATGGATACTTGACTGCTGTATAATCTTGTATCTTGTTCGAAGTCGGATAAATCCAAGGATAAAATCACCGCTTTACAGCATGAACTAATATGCAAGTAATTATTTGTATATAGGATATGTGTGCTTATGACGAAGAGTACTTTGCTTTAGTTGTTTTTAATGAATGTGCTTTGTTACTGCTTTGCTATCTTGAATGGTATTACATATAAGTATTAAATGTAAAATGTAGTACTTTTGAATACGTAGACTCTACAGATTCAAATATATGGGATGCTTTATTTTAAGGTGGTAAGAAATATTTACCATTCTTAGGTGCTTAATCATATTTTTCCAAGAATAAAATTTTATTTCAGAAATTTGTGGGCTATGCATTTTTTTTCAGGGCTTTTTATTTTTTTATTATAACTTATTTACAGGAAAGTATTCCCCAATCTGAAATGGAACTGCTTTTAAGACAACTACAACAGAATAAGGGGGCAAAATTTCCACCTCACTTACGCAGTTTTGCTTTAACTTTACATTTCTACTCCAACTCAGCATATAATTACGTCCGCAAAATTTTTAGTAATTGTTTACCGCATCCAAGTACCCTACGTAAATGGCTTTCTGCTGTCGACGGGTCTCCTGGCTACACTGCAGAAGCTTTACGAGCTCTTAAGCTCAAAGTCAATGAAGCTAAGGAAAAAGGGCAGGATGTGGTATGCACCTTAGTTATGGATGAAATGTCTATTAGGAAACACGTTGAATGGAATGGTAGACGGTATCAGGGACTTGTTGATTATGGTACGAATATCCAAAGCGACGCACTACCGGAAGCAAAGGAAGCATTAGTATTTTTGTTAGTAGCTTTAAATTCCCGTTGGAAACTCCCTCTAGGTTATTTTCTTCTTGACGGCATAGGAGCTTTAGAAAAAGCAAATCTGATTAAAGGCTGCTTGAAATTGGCGCACGACTGTGGTGCTAAAATTGCAGCTCTGACTTTTGACGGTACGGTAACAAATTTTGCCACAGCCTGCAATCTGGGTGCAAAGTTGGAATTGCCGAATATGACGCCTTGGTTTCTACATCCATTCACCAAAGAGAGAGTCCATATTGTACTTGATGCTTGTCATATGGTAAAGTTAATAAGAAACGCTCTTGGTGAATGGAAATGTTTAAAAGATGGAGAGGGAAACAGTGTTAAATGGAGTTGTTTTGAAAATTTGGTTAACTTGCAAGAGGCAAGTGGGTTGCATGCTGCTAACAAATTATCTAGACGACACCTGGATTTCAAAAAAGAAATCATGAAAGTCAAATTGGCCGTTCAGTTGTTCAGCGCGAGCGTGGCAGACGGTTTAGAATTTTGCAAATATGATTTACAGTTGCCAAAATTTGTAGACGTGGATGCAACTGCAAAATTCTGCAGAATGCTGAACAACATCTTCGACGTGCTGAACTCCAGAAATTTTTTAAGCAAGAGCACTTGGGGTAAACCTTTATCAACAACAAACGAAACAGAGTTTTACAAGTTCGTGGATGAGGCAACCCAATATTTAACAACGATAAAGGATTCGAAAAATACTAATATATTGCAGACTAGAAGGAAAACGGGATTCCTGGGACTTGTAATAACTCTAACAAGCCTTAAAAATCTCTATGAAGACGTGGTCAAAAGAAATAACTATATGACCTACATTTTAAGTTATAAGTTAAGTCAAGACCACATTGAAATGTTTTTTTCTGCCATAAGAGCCAGAGGTGGATTCAACAATAATCCAACAGCTGCACAATTTGAAGGAGCTTATAAAAGACTTCTGATGCATGCTGAAATCTCAACTTCTTCTGCAGCCAACTGTTTGGCTCAAGATGCGACCAGCATACTTTCAATCCCCAGTACCAGTATTAAGGCAAAGTCTAAAATAGATGATTTGTTGATAGAAGACCTGCAGCAAAATTTAAATGTCGATGACGAAATGACTGCGCTATGTGAAGAACAAATCAGTTTAACAACATATGTAGATGACATAACAGAGTATATAGCAGGGTTTGTTGCAAAAAAAGTAACATCCCTTGTAAAATGCGAAATTTGTTCAAATATTTTAGTCGATCGAAATTCATTTTCTTCATTACTAAATAGGAAAAATCGCGGTGGTCTTTGCAAAGCTTCAAAAGATGTCGTCAAGCTTTGTAAAGCAGCCGAACGTGTCATTCATTTTTATGACATAAGAAAAAGTGTTTCATTGAAACAGTTGATCCTAACTGTTTTAAAAGATATTAATTTAAAAAATATATTTTGCGAATTAGATGATCATATCTTAAATCAGGATCCATTAAATAATCACCATATTCAACTAAATTACCTTGTTCTAAAAATTTATCTCACAATTCGTATTCATCATCGAAATAAGCAACGAAATGAATTTGATAACAGGATTAGACATAGGTATTCAAAATTGATATTGTTTAAAAATCAATAATTAATTATATAAATCTATTAAATCATTTTAGTAATTGATTTCAAAATTATATCACATGATTATGACAGTCTTAACAGATTTCTCAGTCTGTTGAGATTCATAAAGTTTGTTCAATAGTTTTTCCGTGTCAAAACTTTAATATAAAATTTTCGACGTTTGTAACGACAAAAAGAGTGTCCTTTTTTTGCGTATTAGCTATAAGAGTAAATAAATATTTGTTTCACTCAATGTTTTTTGTGATTATGTGTTAATTAGTTGCCAAACAAACATTAAATAACTCTAATGTTTGATGTAAAAACAAATATTCCATCATTTTCCTATGTTGCTTAATACTCTTTTGCCCCGAATGGATATTACTGGTTGCCTAATCATGTTGACAACATTACTTATATGGCTTTGCAACAGCAATGCGCAGTCCAAATATAATACGTCAATGGTTTATATTACCAGAGAACACATGTTCTCTGATATTACTTAACCTAACTTTTTGTAAAGGTGGGTCTCCACGAACCATGGCCGACTAGTATAAAGATAGGAGATTGAAACCCTCATAGATTCTTCCATTTTTTTTTTTATAAATAAGAGATAAAAAGCCCCCGACATGTTTACACATTTTTATAAAACTCAGTAGGAGCCTCCGAGATTCTTTTAGAATTTTTATAAAAAGACAGTAGAAGCCTGCGAGATTCTTTCACATTCTATATAAAAAAACACACTAGAAGCCCGCGTGATTCTTTCACATTCTTCATATAAAAAGAGGCTACAAGCCTCAAGATTCCTCCAGATTTTTATAAAAATTATTAGGGCCTTCCAAGGTTCTTCTATATCCTCAATGATCTTGTACTGAACAGAAACAAAATTTGTCGTTGGAATGAGAACTGCGGGGGAACGTCGGGGCTAGTACTTGCTAAGATAAGACTGATTTTGGCAAATGATATATTTTCCAAGGTAATAGAGGGCGGGTGGGCGGGGCTAGTATTTGCTAAAATAAGAATGATTCTGGCAAATAACATATTTTCCTAGAAAATAGACGGCGGGTGGGCGGGGCTAGTACTTGCTAATATAAGACTAATTTCAACCAAAAAAGTTAGGATTAGCGCTTTTTTTCACATCCTAGATTTTATTATTAGTTTCCATTCCCACTTGATAGAAGAACATAATTAGCCCCGCCCACCCACCCTGTCTCCTTTTCAATGACTGATTTCATCCAATCTTAATCAAATGAATAATCTTATACTGAACATAAAAAAAATAGTCGTTAGAATGAGGAAAGGGGGGGATGGGAGGCGCTTGTATTTCCACATAATACTGATTTTGGCAAATGACATATCTTCCAAGAAAGTAGAGGGCGGGTGGGCGGGGCTAGCACCTGCTAAGATAAGAATGATTTTGGCAAATGACATACCTTCCTAGAAAATAGAGGGCGGGTGGGCGGTGCTAGTACTTGCTAACATAAGACTAATTTTAACTAAAAAAGTTAGGATTAGCGCTTTTTTTTCACATCCTAGATTCTGTTATTAGTTTCCATTCCCACTTGACAGAAGAACATAGTTAGCCTCGCCCACCCACCCTGTCTCCTTTTCAATGACTGATTTTATCCTATCTTAATCAAATGAATGATCTTATACTGAACATAAAAAAAATAGTCGTTAGAATGAGAAAAGGGGGGGATGGGAGGCGCTAGTATTTCCACATAATACTGATTTTGGCAAATGACATATCTTCCAAGAAAGTAGAGGACGGCTGGGCGGGGCTAGCACCTGCTAAGGTAAGAATGATTTTGGCAAATGACATATTTTCCCAGGAAATAGAGGGCGGGTGGGCGGGGCTAGTACTTACTAAGATAAGAATTATTTTGGCAAATGACATACCTTCCAAGAAAATAGAGGGCGGGTGAGTGGGGCTAGTAATTGCTAAGATTAGACTGATTTTGACCAAAAAATTTACGATTAGCGCTTTTTTTTTCACATCCTAGATTCTATTATTGGTTTCCATTCCCACTCGATAGAAGAAGATAATTAGCCCCGCCCACCTTTTCAATGACTGATTTTATCGCATCTTAATCAAATGAATGCTCTTATAATGAACATAAATAAAATTAGTGTTAGAATAAGAAGTGGGGGGGGATCGGCGTAGCTAGTATTTGCTAAAATAAGACCGATTTTGGCAAATGACATATCTTCCAAGAAAACAGAGGGCGGATGGGCGGGGCTAGTATGTACTTGCCAAGATAACAATGATTTTGGCCAATAACATATCTTCCAAGGAAATAGAGGGCAGGTGGGCAGGGCTAGTACCTGCTAAGATAAGAATGATTTTGGCAAATAACATATCTTCCAAGAAAATAGAGGGCGGGTGGGCCGAGCTATTATTTTTATCCATCTATCTATCTTTTTGCCAAGATAAGAATGATTTTGGCAAATAACATATCTTCCAAGGAAATAGGGGGTGGGTGGGGCTAAGAACGAGATGAAAAAAAAGTACCATTTTAACCATGTTCCAAGTTTCTTGTTGTGAAAAAATGGCTATGTAAATTAAGAAACAACAGGGAAAATATAAGCCCCGCCCACCCACCCGATCTCAATTCTGATGATTCTTTTATTCGACGTAAATCGAGGGGCGGAGCTTAATTCCAAAATCCATATTTCTCTAGAAAATTTTACCATCTTGAACATGTTTTAAGTTTTCTGTTATGAAAAGAAGATTATATATATTAAAAAAAACCGCTAAATATAGGCCCCACCCACCCACCCTATTTCAGTTGTGATGATTTTTTTTATTCGTCGTGAACCGACGGCCGGAGCCTAATTGCAAAATCCTTATTTCCTTTCAAGATGTTACCATTTTAAACGTGTTTTAGGTTTCTAAGAATAAAAAAATCATCACAATTAAGATGGGGTGGGTGGGGGGGGTTTATATTTTGCTCCTTTTTCTTAATATACGTAGTACTCTTTCAATAACATGATACTCAAAAACATGTTTTTAGTTTCTTGTAAACAAATTAGTATTTTCCAGTTAGGTTCCGCCCCTTGGTTCACGGCGAATAAAAAAAATCGTCACAATTGAGACAGGGCGGGCGGGCGGGCTTATATTTTGCCTTTTTGTTTTACTTTTTTTCACGACATGAAACTGACAACATGTTTAAAATGGAAAATTTGTACATATAAGGAAATATCGATTTTGCAATTAGGCTCCGCTCCATAATTATAAAATCCATACTTCCTTGCAAAAATGTACCATTTTAACCACAGATTTTAACCATGTTCTAAGTTTCTTGTTGTAAAAAGATGGCAATGTATTATAAGAAGAAAAAGGAAAATATAAGCCCGGCCCACCCACCCTATCTCTATTTTAATCTTTATGCTAGTCGGCCATGCATGGACATTATATTGTATTAATATTAAGGCGCAAACACACTACAAGAAATAAGAAATACCTTATGTTGTACTCCTTATTCATGATTACAATATTATTGTGGATTGCTACACCCATTTGTACGTGCTGAAATCTTATTTGGTGCATTGTGTTTGGACCTTGAACACTACTGTCTTTCGCTTTTGTCGATTTTATCCCCGAATAAACTACTTGTCGATTTTATCCCCGAATAAACTACGTCAGCATTCTTGTGATGCTACTAATTTTCATTAAAAAATTAAAACTCAATTCTATAGTCCCCTATGTTACTATGTGTGACACTGTCTTCACTTTTACCACATCTTTTGCGATTATTTACTATGTGGTTGTATATTTCTTAGGTGAATAAAAGTGCGGTTTTGATCGCCGCCGTCGTTCAAAATGAAGTCGACTTCCTTAAATATTTCTCAAATTGCACAGATTGGTCCAACATCAAGCATCCAGAAGATGGTAATTCTCTCCTACAAATTGGCATCATCCACCAAAAGTGGGTATATTTCTGATTAATGTCTCTTTTTAATATAGAGCAAGTGATTCATTAACGATAGGTCTTGTTTTAATTAATTTTAGGAAAGAAATTTGTGACTACTTAATGTCACTACCCGACTTTCCCTTGGACCATGAGAACAACGACCACCTGACAGCGTTGGCTCTAGCCTTACGCGAAAAGGACGAATTCTGTGACCACATTTGCTACGAACTGATTAAAAGAGGGGCATCTGTTAACACAGTTTCGTTTAAAGATGGCGTCACGCTTCTACACCACGCTTTGGAGAAATCTTTGGTCAAAGTGTCAAAACTTCTAATGGAGCTGGGTTACGACGTAAACGCGTTAACCAACGACCAAATGTCGCCGCTGTGGTATTGTATAGACGCCAGCGCCATAGATGAAATCGAAGCAGAGTTAGTAGCAGCTTTGTTGTATCACGGCGCTGACCCGACAATAGGGACGATTTTCGGCTACAATACTTTCGAATATGCGGTAAAATTTTGTTCGTTTTCTGTAGAACAAGCGTTGTTTTACTACACTTTCGATCAGTACACGTGTGTAGATACCCATTTCGAAGTACTCTTGACACTTGCCGACGAAAGATCGCCGTTTTTTCACGAAACAGTTCAACGCACAAACAACGTCATTTTGGGAAATTCGTCCTTGAGCTACTACCACCTTCTGTTTTTAATCGATGTCGAGTATTTGGATGTTTTGATAAAAAAATGTGACGACGTAATCGCCCAAGTTTTCGCTCAGGTTACCGCTACTGATTACAAAATGTGCAGTTTTTGCGAACGCATGCTTCTTCGGAATTTAGATCTTCTTCTTGGAAGCGACTTACGTCACGACACCATCAATTTCATCGTCACGTTTGGTGACAAATTTTATTTTTATTTTTTGGTGGCTTTCGGCTATGACGAATCCGTTGTTGTTGAAAATGTGTGTTATTTGTTGTCGTACGGTTTGAGACTGAACGAGTCGCATTTGAAGGCGTTTTATAAACGGTACGGGTATGGAGAATTATTGAAAATAGCATTGCATATGGATATAGAAAAAACCGTCAGCAAGCAATATATTAAAAATTCTTTGTTGGTGTTTATATATGATGTTAATATAACTTTGGAAAATTATTTGCAAGATTCGAGTCCGTACTACCCTCCTCAGAATCTATGCGAACTGTTGCCTTATTTTGTGCATTCGAAGTTACAGGTACTGTGTCAGTATGAAGGGATTGAGAATGCAGATGTGTGGCTCAGTCGACCGACGGTTCCGTTGTTGGTCGAACTGGCTCGGAACGTTTTTCGTAGTTATTTCATCGAGAGGTTTAATATCAGAAACGCCAAACAGTTTTATGCACTCATTAATGGACTTCCTGTAAGTCCTGTACATAAAAAAATTATTACCTACGAAACGAAACTATATTAACATTGTAATATTTCAATGATTCTGACTGACGTCACATTATTTTCAAATATTTCTTATTAGAAGTATGATTTTTTCTATTTTGTGTACGTAATTGTTCAGATTCCACGTGTTCCTACTTATAAAGTATTTTGATACAAATATAGCAGTTTTCAATTTATATTTGTTTTATTTCGGAAACGCCAAATCATTATATATATATCATCACAGTTACATTGCAGTAGGATAAGAACGTAAAGTCAAGTCAATCCGACCTTAAACGATGGATAACAGTGTATGGAGAGTACCTAAGTCGTTGTTATTTCCAAGTGTTATTCCCAAAGCCTGTGTGCACATTTCACGGGGTTGGAGTGACGATACATGAATCCATTATAGTTATAACCGTCGTGTTTGAAATGCTTGCGGCCATACACTCTCATCTCATAACGCGATTTACCATTACCCTGCATGGTATAATCTTTATTTGCTCTTTTGATATAGGTACTACCAAAGGTTTTTCTCTGAAGCACTTGTGTAGTTCCGTGTTTGAATATTGTCGGATGGCATAGACTGCTCTGTTGTCTCCATGATAAATCTTATACACTACTTGTCGATCACACTAACAATACTAACCCCTAGTGGACTCACTGGTTTTATATACTACCACAAATCTAACATTGACATCAAGTTGCACAATGTTGGTAAAAAAACTTGAAGTTATGAAAGAAGAGAGGGAATTTAGCAACGAGAATTTAGAGTATTGACAGATGAGTACAAAAAAGCTGTTTTCAAGCTGCACCGTCAAGAAGAGTTATTTTTCTATGGTCAAAAACAAAGTTTGGAATTTTTATTCTTGTGATGTTTACTTTTACCATTACTTTAGTTATTATTATTAATTTCTGCGAGAGTGCGAGCGAATGAACATGTCGTCAAACGCTCTATTATGCTTATATTGTAAAAACAAAGCAGTTAGTGGACCTAAGTGTATAGTTTGTGAAAGGGTATTTCATCCTAAGTGTGTAGATCGTCTCAACTTAATAGTTTTAAATTCTGATCAAGTTATTTGTTGTAAAATGCCAGGAACAAGCAACAGTGCAGATAACATCGCTAAAGAAGCCGTTATAACTTTTTTAAAAAGCAGTGAGTTTGGAGAAATAATCAAAGAAATCGTGCATCACGAAGTCAATGTCATCTTAACCGAAGTAGGTAGAATCCGAGGAGAATTGGAAGCTGTGAAGGCTGCTAATGTGGACCTTATAAAACTGCTGACCAACCCCAAAATTAGTGGAACAAAGGTGCCAGATACCGATACCACTCATGGTAAGGAGCAGTGGCGGCTCGTCAGGGGAGGCAGGGGAGGCAGTGCCTCCCCTGGAAAAATTGACTATTAGTTTTTGTTTTAATATCTGTTAACTTCAAATATATTTTAAAGATATAGCAAATGACTTTTATGGAACACTGTGATTTATTAAAACGCGTCTTGGTAACATATTTTGAAGTACGCGCTTTCGACAGGAATAAGCGCTGATCACCGCCGTGTAGGCCAGCTTCAGACAGAGGCACGCCTCAGAAAGACGGATATCTTCAGTTTGATTAGTCAGTGGTGCTAATATGTTTTTGAGTAAGACAATAGTCATCAGTGCTTTATCAAAGCGCCAGCGGAGGCACCAACGCCTACCGTCCTTAAGCCAATCAGATCGGATTTTTTAATCTCACGGTGAAACTGCACAATGCTGAACAGGGATGCTGAATGCATTTAGCGTGCATTTAGTTGTGCATTAATTAGACGCGAGGAAGGTGTTCACTGCATGTGCATTGCCAAGGTTATGTATTAAAACTTTTAAGTTAACTTGAACAGAGTAGGACAATGAAAATGTCAGTTTTGCAATGCTGGTAGCAACATAAGAATCTATAATCTCCAGAATTTCATATAAAGTTTAAATATTTAAGCACGGTTTTCTTACGACGAACAATTGTATGTCAAAGATTTAGAACCTCTCATCCAGATTTGAGGAGAACTTTATTAATTAATTGATTAATATATTTAAATTAGCCCTAGATCATATGAATTAATATTTAATGCTAAGAAAACAAATTCTATAGTCTTTAAACCTTCTCGTTGGTTTGTGTGAAGCAATTAAATGTTTTTTATTCGAGAAGTGTACCCATATAGAATAGAGATATGTTACTGACTCAAAGCTATTTGTATTGTTTTCATAACAACGAATAAACAATCTGTCTTTTAACAAAAATAATTGCCAACATGTTAATTAATACCTGCTGATTTTGAAATGAAATTGTTGCCTTACCTAACGAAAAGACCACGAGCAGAGACTTTAAATACATAGACTGGCTGTTAGTAACATTTCTAATGCATTTTGGTGAAGCCACGGCGCATGGTAGTATGGACGCCATTGCTATAACTTTGATGTCAAATTAAGTGAGGTTGTGGTGGTTAGCAGCAGTAGTTTCTAGCACAGAACGTTTCTAGACCTCGAAATAAAAGTGGTTGTGTGTCGGGACTTACGAGATTGTTTGTAAATATGGCCATTAAAAATGATTTGGTAACTAAAATGTTTGCCTTAACTTTGCAAAGTAGGACCATACATTTTTTTTCTACATAATGAACATTTGTTTAGTATGGATTAGTTGAACGTAAATAATTCTTATTTTAATTTATTGCTTAAATTAATTTTGAGAAATTATTTGACTCTCGGAACTTACGAGTGCCGCTTAAGTACTGAGCGTGAAAAAGCTATCTCTTTAAGACAAAAATTCACGAAATTAATTCTGTTTCAAGGACATAATATTTTTAAAGGAATTTACATATACATATAGATATTGTTATGCTAAATAAATAATTACAATTTTTTGTCTTTTTTATTTAACATTTTAAATTGCATTTTGTGACCGGAAAATTCAAATTTCGCGCACTTACGGTTATAAGCAATATGGCGGTCGAAAAACTTCACGTTTTTCCTGACACAGCCAGTCTATGTATTAAAGTCTCTGACCACGAGCCGCTACTGGTAAGGAGCGTGTTTCACGAGAACAAAATTCTGCTAATTTTGCGAACAATTTTTCAAATATTTTCGATCCAAATTCTGGTACAAAACCGCCAAATAAGAGTATGGCTACCAATAAAAGAGATGAAAAACCAGCTGATCTAAGCGAAAAAGTGAACGAAAAATCACTTTCTCTGTCGACTGATGACATTGTTAATGATAACGACAATCATGATTTCATATACCCACGTTATCATCAAAAGCGCAATTTTCAAACTAAAAATAAGAATATTATTAATGGGACTAAATCTGCGAAATCTTCTCTCCGGGCTGTCGAAAAAATGCATCATTATTACATCGGACGCATTGACCCTACTATGACTGAAAATCAGGTGGGAGAATGCTTAAAAGCTGAGTTGAAGCTTCAGAACTTTTCCTGCGAAAATCTTCCGTCCAAAGGTGGGAATTTTAACTCCTTCAAACTCAGTCTTCCGCAGTCTAAAGCTGCTGATATCCTTAATCCGCAAATGTGGCCGGAAGGCATAGTAGTTCGTAGATTTTTTCCATCCGGAACAAAACATAATTCATCTTCTACGGAACAAAATTTTCGCAACGCAAGAGTAGAGTTAACAACAACATAAGTGAAATCACCGTATATTACCAAAATGTGTGCGGTTTACGAACAAAATTGGCTGAGTGTTTTATATCTTGTTTATGTGAAAATTTTGATGTACTTATATTTGTAGAGACATGGTTGCGTCCAGATATCAAAGATAATGAATTTATAGATAACAGATATATTGTGTACAGGACGGACCGCTCTGAAAGCAACAGCACGAAGAGCATTGGAGGCGGGGTACTTATAGCTGTAAAGAAGAATTTTCAATCAAGTAAAATGAATTTGTTTTCTGAGCTAGAAGATTTGTGGGTAACCTTGCAAATCAATCATAAAATATTAATTTTCTGTGCTGTATACCTACCGCCTGATATTTCGGCAGAATTGTATGAAACTTATGTTAATAAGGTAAAGTCGGTTTGTTACAACAATTTATATAGTCTAATTTTCATTCTTGGTGATTTTAATCTTGCGGGGGTAAAATGGATTTGTGACGACGAAATTATAAGTCTTATTCCAATCAATGTAAGGTCAGAAAAAGAAATTCTTATATGTAATAATTTTGCTTCTTATGATCTTCATCAATTCAATGACGGTGCTAATTGCAGTGGTAATATCTTAGATCTCTGTTATTCTAACTGTGATAATATTGTTATAAGTAGTACTCAAGAACTTGTAAAAATAGATAAATATCATCATCCATTTAAGCTGGTAATAACGGGCTGTGAAAATTCTAGTGATAATTTCTGTGATATTTACTACGATTTTAAAAACTGCAATTATGATATAATTAATAATTATCTGTATAACTGTGATTGGCATTTTATTAACGATGACAATAATATTAGTGACATTGTGAATGTACTTTATTGTTATCTAACTTTCATCTGTGATAATTTTGTACCTATGCGGAAATCAAGGAGCAAAAGGTTTCCGGTGTGGTTTAGTGGTGAGGCTCGTAATCTTGTAAAAAAGAAAAACAGTGCGCATCGTCGATTTAAAATAACTGGCGATATTAGAGATTATGCTGACTTTGTTTCTTTTAGAGCAGAATGCAAGAGAATTATTTCTGAATGTTATAATATGTACATCAACAAAACGGAATCCGAGATTAATTCTAATCCCAAACACTTTTGGAATTTTGTTAAAAATATGAAAAATAGTTGTGAACTTCCGAACACCATGAAGTATAACGATAGTCATATTCTTGGGTATGAAAACATAGTAAACGCTTTTGCCAATTACTTCTCTTCTGTTTATACGAAAAGTAGTGTCAGTGGTTACCATAATTATCCCTATGAAATTAAATCACTTGTTGATATCAAGAATGTACATATTACAGAAGATATTGTATTTAATGAATTGAAGTCTCTCGATCTTAGTAAAGGTGCGGGCCCGGATGGACTTCCGCCTATATTTTTTTATAATTGTAGAGATTCTCTGACGGTACCACTTGCCAATATTTTTTCGATCTCGGTTCGCTCTGGTAAATTTCCTGATTTA